TATAAAGGAAGTACGGGTTCCCCCGGGAACCGGTTGGGGTATAATTATAACAGAGGTACGGGTTCCCCTGGGAACCGGTGGGTGACTAATTATAAAGGAAGTACGGGTTCCCCTGGGAACCGGTGGGGAACTAATTATAAAGGAAGTACGGGTTCCCCCGGGAACCGGTGGGGGACTAATTATAAAGGAAGTACGGGTTCCCCTGGGAACCGGTGGAGGACTAATTATAAAGGAAGTACAGGTTACCCTGGGAACCGGTGGGGGACTAATTATAAAGGAAGTACAGGTTCCCCCGGGAACTAGTGGGGGACTAATTATAAAGGAAGTACGGGTTCCCCCGGGAACCGGTGGGGGACTAATTATAAAGGAAGTATGGGTTCCCCTGGGAACCGGTGGGGGACTTATTATGAAGGAAGTACAGGTTCCCCTGGGAACCGGTGGGGGAATAATTATAAAGGAAGTACAGGTTCCCCTGGGAACCGGTGGGGGACTAATTATAAAGGAAGTACGGGTTCCCCCGGGAACTAGTGGGGGACTAATTATAAAGGAAATACGGGTTCCCCCGGGAACCGGTGGGGGACTTATTATAAAGGAAGTATGGGTTTCCCTGGGAACCGGTGGGGGACTAATTATAAAGGAAGTACGGGTTCCCCCGGGAACCGGTTGGGGTATAATTATAACAGAAGTCGAGTTCCCCCGGGAACCGGTGGGGGACTAATTATAAAGGAAGTATGGGTTCCCCCGGGAACCGATGGGTGACTAATTATAAAGGAAATATGGGTTCCCCGGGAACCGATGGGTGACTAATGGATTGGAAACTTAAGTATTAAATTTGAAAAAGATCTCTCTAGTACTTTCTGTGAAAAGCAATAACAAATCTTCACTGTCAAAATCCAAGATGGTCACTTGTTTGCCATTTTGTATGCATAACTGAGGACCAGGGTAGACCTACAAATTGTGAGAAAGATTCCATCAGTTCCTTTAGAGAATTAGTGCTAAAAAGAATTTGTTGAAGGACAAGGGGTGACTTGAATATCCCACCATCTGATGACGGTGGGCTAAAAATCAGATTAGATGATATGTAATAAGTATGTGATGCATAACATTATGGACATCAATGAATTTATCTTAATTCATTTGCTGTTTCAGTTATTTGTCTATCATATATAAAAACTTAACACAATACTAACATGGTGAGTTTTTTGTGTTTTCCATCATGCACCAAAATTTAGCAGAATGTGTTCGTAGGATATATATATTGCCTTTCAACAAAATAAGGTCAGGTTGTAAAGAAATGTAATATCTATTTCCCCGTCTCAATCATATTTGAAAGGAGTAAGACGGGGAAGTGGTACAATGTAATAGATGAAATGACAAACAGTACTCTTATAGCTATTCTTTATCTGATATCATCATGATTATGCCGACCTGGACCTCTTAAGTATTTCCAAAGCACTGTTTCTTTGATGCAGGTGCCATCCAAAATCTGGGCAGAATGAATAAGCCTAGAAAACTAACTGAAGTGGTTCAAAACTTCATGACAACAACATACACACAGTTCGAATCATGTAATATAGATCCCATATTTAATGTATAGGTATATATGCTCCATACACAAAAATATCATATATAAATGAATTATAGAATATAACACACAAAATGCACGTCTATGCCATTCTAGCACTTGAATTTGCTGACCATGCTTTCACAACATGGCTGTTTTGGAAAACCTCATTATTTATTTGCCATGGAATTCTTCTGATTTATGAATGTATTCGTGGAAATAAATATGTATTAATGGCTGCTGTTGCACATTTTAATGTACATTAAGACACTCTATTTTGCCAAAGTCTTAATTTTGAAATTTGATCCTTAGCATTGAGAAAATCAGTCATGGAACAAAAGAGATTCCACAGCGCCTCGCCCCGTCAAAAGTATCTCAAAGTTTTAAACCTCTAACATCGCTGCAATTTGTAGCGAAAACTTCCGAGGAACATAAATTTGCAACTCAGGGTTCTCCCCAGAATTTTTCTAAGCTGATTTGTTTCATTTTCAACGAACGTTCAAGACGGACACGCTCAATAATACCTTATTAAATTTAGGGGAAGAGTTAATATTATGTTTAAATAGGTATTTTAATTTACCAAACTTTTGATGAACTTAAAAGCCAAAGAAATAAATAATTGTTCTTTTTGTATGAATTTTCAGCAATATCACTGTTTTAAATATTCTAAAAAAAAATACAATTTATAGAAAGGTCTATTAGTTTTGTACATTGAATAATAGATATAACATTTGTTTCTTATCTTTATACTTGTATCCCTTAGTTTTATCTCCATTTAATATAATTCAAAGAAGAAATATTTAAAAGCTGTTCATGTTACATAGGGGAGAACACTTACATGAAAAAAAATATATCACAGTTCCTATTCCGTCTTTGCGTATTGCAGAGTTATCTTCTCTTGATGAGAGCAGGTATTGATTGTTACGTCATTGGTTTGTGTGAGAAAATTACGTTGTTTTCTCAAAAATTGATGACATTACTCTCACAAACAAATCAATACCTGCTCTCAAGAGAAGATAACTCTGCAATATGCAAAGACGGAATTATGGTAAGAAAAAATGTTCAAATAAAATGTAGTGTTTTTATTTCCTCTAAAACTGTATAAAATACTGCCGTCAGTAAATTTGATCAGAGATTAAAACAGCATTTTACTGGTAGCATACAGTTGACACTTTTGACAACAAAAGACATACTTCACAAAATAGTAAATATCATGTGCATTTTCTTGCTTACTAATCTAGACCTCAAAATGGGTGTCAGACGATTCGCCCAGAAAACTACAACGCCCCAAAAATACCTTCCATAAAAGTCGCTTATTTGACAAGTTTTAAAGTGAAATATTTACCTTTTATGTAATATTCTTAGGACAAACATTAAAAAAATAAGATATGTTGTAATTCGTTTGATGTTTGGGACATAATGTGTGTGTCGTAGATTGATTACTTACCATATCTATAGTATTTGTATATTTTAGATAATATAAATATATGTATAAGATAATTAGATTTCATACACGTGTGCCATAAGAAACAAAAAAAATGTTATGTGTTTTATTTCAGACTTATGCAGCTGTGACAAGGCAAAAGGACTGAATTTCGCTTTAAAAGATTTTTAGTCCTAGTTATTTTAAAGTAATAACAAATGTGGGACACATTTTCCCCCAGCAGGGGAGTATGTAAGTATATATAATATGATATATATGGGGCAAAGAAGTGATTTCAACAGTGTGGACAAGTTTAGGTTGTCAAATTTTCAGAGCGATCCGCTCCTTTATCAAAACACAGTGAAACAGAACAGGTACATGTACATATACATCATATTACAAGAAGATAGAACTAATATACTATAACTGAAAATATAGCTATTATATAAAACTAATAGTCCCCTCAGCTAAAGACAATATGATATATAAATAGATGGTGTGTGTATATATATATAAAACGAGTGCTGTCAACTGCCTGTATACACGTGTGTTGTCCCGTCTGGTAACCAGTGTATGTGAAGTCATCAGTTCGGAATGCATGTACCTGTGTTGTTATGTTCCGTTTCAACATTCTGACTGAATTGTACTTACGACGTAGACATTGGACCTGCCTCTTGCACGAATAAAGCACCCTGTATTCCTGCCACTTTATTCTGGCTACTGGGTAAATTCTTACTGCCCAGTGGTCATTCTTACAATCCGACTCATGAGAGACGGATCTGTACTCCAGATTTACTGATAGAGCCATTGATATATTGACTATATAGAGGGCGTAAAGATACATTGCCGCCAGCATGTATTAGCAGGCTATGCTAGGAACATCATACCCGGTATGTATAACCGTATTAATGTAATGACTATCGAGGGTTTGTAACATTTAGTTATTGGAATTAATATATTTATAGCAGTCATTATTCAGAGGTCCGGTACCTCGGTCGGCGCGGAAGTTGTGTAATATTTATTGTAATATTTATTGTATGTATATGAGAGGGTGAATGTATTTATTGTATTGTCCTGTATTGTAGGTTTCTCTGAGCTAGAGTAAAGAAAGAGATATACATAAACAACTTGTCCGAGTTTTGATCTTAAAACTGAGCAACCGGTGACAGTTGCAAAAGAGAGTGTGTACTTATATTTGTATCTACTTCTATTTCCTCATGAGTTATTTTAAATTTTCATTAACAAATAACTGATATCTCAAAATATTTAGGGGAAGAACAGTAGTTTTGCTTCACAACTGATGAAGCCCAGCCAAAATGCTTATATAAAATAAAGGGCAGAAACTCAATTGGCACATTATTCGGCATATCATTTACTTTTCACAAATGGACTGACAATCTCTATCATCAACATGCAAACTGATAACTCATCAAAACTATTTATATTAAAAAAAAATACATTACATAAACGGTAATGACGGTAAAACAAATATAAAAGTAAAAAATATGAGTCTTGAGGTTACCTAATCATTAATATTTAATTGAAACTGGTAAAATAGATTCGGGGTAAAAAGACATTTGGGGGCATTATGGTTGTCATGCTTGGGTCGAATTGAAGCGATGTGAAATACAGTAAAATTGGGGCTAATAAGTCGCGGGCGAAACAGTTTTGGGGCGAAACGTCTGTAATTCCCTCAAAATCACTGACAGGTTTGTATATTTTGAACAAGTACAATATGATGAAGTTATGTTATTACCGACAATGCACTACACAATTAAATACGGATAAAGCACACACAAAATTAATACAAGGATAAACTTTCACGCTGACAATAATAAATTTACTAAGCAGGAAATGATCTGCCACATTTCACAGGCCGGTAGGCTAACTGCCACATTTCACCGGTGCCTTGACTGGTGTCACCAACAGTGTACAACATGCAAAAGCAACAACGTATGGTATGCATATGAAAATCAAATTCTCCTAGAAAAATGTGTTTGTTAAATAAATTACCTCCTTTTTCTTCAGAGACGACGAACAAATGCAAATCAGGGCAAATATAGAAACAGAAAACAGCAGATGCTTCATGTCGGCAGCCATTATTTTAGACGTGTAAACAACAAATCATTTGATTGGTTAATTTTGTAATCAACCAATGAGCGATCCTTTAACAAACTGTTTGCACCGACGGTGTTTCGCTCGGCATTACTTTGGCATCTTCATTGATCACATCGCTAACATTGGATAGCAAATAATGTTCCGAAGGAAAGAAAAGTGAAATGAAACTCAAGTTTGGAAAGTTTTAGAGATTTCTTGTGATGTTGGAGATATCATAACGTTGATCAGCTGGACATTTGGATAAGTTATTTTAAATACACAGGGTAATTTATGTAGAACTTTCATCAAAAGCATATTACTTGTAACGTGTAGCTTCAAGGATGAAAGAGAGCCATTGCCATAAAGTTTCTCAAGTTTTGATCTTCACTCTCCGACTCGCGCAGGACTACTCCTGTTTGCAACTCTGACCTTTTTACATCATTTACAGTAGCTTGTATTTTTGTCTTAACTTCTTGTATAGCATTTGTATTATTTTTGCGTTCGATTTCAGAGCTTGAACTCATTATCAGCCACCACACATTAATACCACACTAACCCTTATAAGCGCCCTGTTACTTTGCCTTCCCTGGTATATAGTAGATAATGGGTATGCTTGACCATTTTTAATGGATTGGTAAATATTGGGTAAATGCTGCGTATGTCTTCTGGCTATAGGGGTTCCTATCAGGATGGTGACAAAAACAACCTTTTCATAATTTTGTTGTCAGTAGTTGATATTTAAACTAATACATTTGTATTATGTTGTAGGAAAGCCATGGGGCGTGGCAAATTAGGAAATGGAGAAGTTGTGTCGGAGCCAGCTGAGTATCACCAGCCTGTTGGGATTTATGGGTGGAGGAAGCGATGCCTCTACAGCTTTATTCTCTTTCTCATGATCATGACGGTCATCAACCTGGCACTCCTAATATGGATCCTCCGAGTGCTCAACTTCTCAGTGGTATAAACCTACTACTTTATCAATTTGTTTAATTCAAATTCATATTTCCTGGTTAAATGTAGCCCCTCCTTTGTTTCCACTCCTTATGAATTATACATCATACACGTCATATCTAAAGATTTGAGCATGAGACTCATGAAATTTGCTTCAGAAAAAATTCTCTTATAGGTCGAAAGTCACAGGTCAGCTACTTAAATTAGTAATTAATTGGCCAGGCCAATTATCAGCATATAGTTGTGAAAGTTGTGAATGGATTGGGCCAGCCGATCTGGTAATTTAGCGGTAATTCATAGACAGGACAGAATATGCCCACTCTGTAATACTGGTATTGGGGACGAGTTTCATTAATGATAATAATAATAATATTTATTCAGGTAAAGTGTTATAACAAGATATCACAATTTAGAATAAAACATATAATTAAGATCACAATGCAGCTTGTAAATAAAAAAGAGTATTTTGTATTATAAAAGATCTATCATAATAAAAGTTTTCTTAATTCAATCCTTGACATATATCACAGAGTATAAAAATCTACAAAAAAGTCTGATACACTGTAAAAAAAGGCAGATATTACATGTACTATAAAATGAGACAGACAACTTTTAGCAGATGAAGGTAGATATAAATAGGTCGCATAATAGGAGTGGTGAGTGCCATTTATTTCCAATGGGGTCCTTTAACATTACTAATATACTTGTCATAACGATACTTCAGTCAAAATAAGGGAAACATATTTATACAAGCCCAAACCATCATAAAATGAAAGCAATATTCACATTTTTTTAAAAGTGTAAGCTTATTTGTTATAAAATTAACGAAAGTACTATAGTGTCTCTATTCTATAAGCTTTGTCTTCTGTTTGCTATAGTGACATTTTATATACGTTGAACACTGAAATATTTGTATGTAACTAGACGTTTATATGTTATTATGTACTATGCTATGATATAGAATGCTTGCCTGTCCTGCACTCAAACTATGTTGACAGTGGGTATAAACATTAAACAGCCACACAAGAGCTGTTAATATAACAATCGATAACATGGTTAACCGAAACGGGAATGTAAGTCGTGACTAAACAATGCAAACCGGAAACTGACATTGAATCTGGAATCTATTATCTCGTCTTTGGGATGGGATTAAGTGTTAATAAAAAATAACATTAACACAAGCGAGCAAAGGGCCGGTTTCCAAAACGGCCCCTTCTCTGATTCCAATTTCCTGTTGGTGGTGCATTGCCCATGCCGTTGTGGTCACAAATCTATAAAGTATAAAGATTTAGGTCACTTGGTTTGTTTTTTATGGCTCCTCAAAGTTGTACCTTTCAGAAGCTGTCTAAGTGTTGATAAAATGTGCATGTTATGTAAAATATTAATGAAAATCTAATCAAATGATGGTCACCGTAAAGAATACATTCATGGCATGATTGTGACAAAAAATCATGTTTCCATCGCGCCATTTGGCTGTTTTATGGAAGAAACAATCTCAAAAATGCCATTTTCGATGATAACATTTTAGACACAAAAACTGTGTTTTTTAGAGAATACACCCTTTTATGGGCGTTGGATGCAAACCAATTTTTATCCTATTAAACAGTACGTAATATGCTATTGATGAGAGGAAAAATCATCAAAATGTAAGTGGTGGAACATTTTCAAATGTTGGGTTGAATTAGCCTATGGTTGAATTGCCGATTTTCGACTTTCTTTAGATAATTAACAAAAAAACGAGAGTATTTGCTCGGTATGTTGAGAATATGTACACAGATATGAAAAAAAGTGAGAGAAACACTTTTTCATAAAAAAAATCCAAGATGGCTACTTCACAAGTCCCCGTGGTTGAAGACATTGGCTGACAAATAGACAGAACAACAAACAAAACGTGTTCCTTATGATTTTGGTTGGTTTTCGCATTTACGGGAGTGTTCATAGCTACGGGCGATTGTATAATACCTATATTTATAAGTTTGGTTAGTCACATGGTAACGGGGATCTTTCATATCGAGCCCCAAACATACTTTCGACATATGCACTCCGTTGCCGCATGGAAAACTATTTCAAGTTTTGTCGGAATTTCTTTACCTGTGGTTGTAATGGTCGAGGGTTTTCCAGCGTCCTGTAATACCCAAGGTAGTACAAGATACTGGAGATGTGCGCACACATTCCCATCGTTCTCTCTCCAACTGGGCACTGGCAGTAGTAGTCCTTTATTGGGGCCTCAACATCGGGTGAAACGGTGAACCGTATCCAAACGTTATATTTCGTTTGGCTTTTGTGTCGAGAATGTATTTGACATCGGAGAAGGTCTGGGGAGTGCTGGTAAAGCCACACCTCATAGTCTCCGTCATCACTTAAATGTTCGGCGATGTAACCAGGAGCCAGAGATATCTGATACGTTCCACACGTAATGGTTCTCAAGTAATCAAGATCGAGACGGGGAAACAGTACGGAAGATGCATCCATCTTGACAAACTCGGACCTTGCCCGTCTAGATAGATCCGGATCTGTCTTGACTCTCTGAGCTAAACCATTCGGTGTTGTCAAACGGTCCTTCATACGTTCAGCCATTAGCCTATCTTTGGCATCTCTCTCTGGAGATCTCTGGTAGATCGGTCCTCTAATACCATTCAGACAGGCTGTGACGGTTCGAAGCAAAGCCTCGATGACATTGATAAAGCTGTTAGACACCAATTGCGTTCGGAAGAACGTCCAGTGTTTCAGACGACCATGATAGGATTCCACAATCCACCTCGATTTGGTGATAGTTCTGTCAAGATTTGCTTGGACGTCAGAATGTTGACTTTGACCGGGTTTCAGGTATGACGGCATGCTAGCATTGAGGCCAGAGGCTTCGAGAACTGGTAGGACATCTCTAAAACCTCGGTCAACGACAACGTTGTCGTCTGGTTGTAGCCAAGTAACTAGCTTGTCCATGACTTTTTTTGTAATTGTAGCATCATTTTCGCTGCCAGTGAATGGTCCTACTGTGTCCAGAATGTAGCCATCTGGTAAGGCGATGCTCATGAATTTGAGATAGTTTCTCTTCTTCTGGCCACAGTAGGACATTCTCTGGAGCTTGTGGTCGGAGCTTTTCTGGATATAAATATAGGTGCCATCTAATATGGCAGTGGCTTTATCTCCAAAAAATGCTTCTGAAAAGACAGTATTGTGCCCGAGCAACTGTTCTCTTGTCAAGTGATCCGGACCTAGAAATTGTGGGACTATCGATGTGTCTAATGCCTGTACTATGGAGTGGAAAGTTTTGGACACACTTGACTTGGAAATTCCAAAAAGAGAAGAACACTGACTCCAGGAAATGTCGGTTTTCAGTTTTACCCAGAACAGTAATAGAGCATCGTGTGTAGTCTTGGTATATATACCAGATGAAAGATATGGGGAACAGTGCGAGTGGATTTCGAGGAACTGATCTTTGGACCAACCTGTCCAGGCCATGCATGCCGAGTCATCAAGAGAAGAAAAGCTTATTGTAAACGCAGACTGGTTCTGTGAAAGGACGTGCGACACCTCTAGGAGGTCATTAATGATTTCGGACGATTTTGATGGTAACTGAGATTCCAAGGAACCTCTACCATCAAGGACAACCTCTGTAGACGGATCTAAGTCGTTACCAATAAGGTGAATGGAGCAGACGCGGGATGAGGTGGGACACCACAGTTTGTGTGAATAGATCAGGTGATGTCTTGCACGTTTTGGTAAGACTGATGATTTTGTTCCATTTCTTGCAAAGGTAACAAGACAGAGACAGCATTTTTTGTGTGAAGATGATCCATTCAAAAGATCATGAAGGGTCAGCAACGGCAGGATATGGGACGGGGAGTCGTCTTCTTCCTCTATTTCCTGGTTCTGCTCGGGTTCAGGTTCAGGCTGATTTTTGTTCCGAAGATACTTCATGTAGCACTTCTGGCAAATAAGTGCTTGTTCCTTTGCTGACATCAATCCTTGTTGCACCAGCGTATCTAGGAGCCATTTATATTGTGGACTATTTACATTGCGTGCACTTCTGTTCTTATTGCCACTACGTTTCTTGAAGTATACTTGACACCCTTCTCCAACACATTTACCCTCCATCTTGAAACAATAACGATTGGTTTATGAAGCGTCGATAAAGTAACAAAATAGCAAGCCACCGATGATTGCTGTAAACAGCTAATACTTAGTAGTTTGGTACAATTATGCGAAAATGTGTGATAAATAACGAACAACTAATTACACAAAATAACAAGACAATATAATAAATCACATTCAATACCTCCAAGAAGCGCAGAATTGATTGATTACTTAGAACAAAATAAAGTATTTCATATGGATAATCTATCTATTCGATGTGGCGTGGTCGGCAGGCACAAAGAAAGTGAGACAAGTCAGGGTCCCAACCCTGACAGAGCCACAACGCTTTGGAGATGGGACAATAAAACAAGGAAAGTGAGACAAGAATAGCTAGCGTCGAGTCAATGATTCCGTAAACGTATAGACAAAGACAAGAAGATACGGATAAATGTACAAGGCCACACGATCAGAAAATTCAGAAGAGGACAACTTGAGATAGAACAGTATTCATGTATCAGGGTGTCCTCAGTGTAAATCTTTATATCGATACTGTTTATTTAGTCGTTACACATCATAAAACTGTCATGAAAATATCCGCTCTGATATTCAATATAAAAGTTTGTATATAATAAGCTATATAATAGGGTTTCAGACAAGGTTGTTACTCATTTCCCCTTTTCTTTCAATTTACAACCACATTCAGGCGGCGATATGAGAACGTTCCACCACATGGAATTAGCTGATTTTTGGTACACATATGAAACAAGTAAAGCTCTATCCGATTTTCTGATGGAAATTTGCATCCAAAACTATATAACGGGAGAAAATTGCAATTTTATGGCATTTTTCTTCATAATTGTGTCTCTGCAAGTGCATTTTCATCCGAGAATATTTTTTTTTATGTTTTATGAATAAACACGATGTTTTGGAAATATTTATCAAAAGAAATTTATACTATGTTGCGAATTACAATTTCGAGATAACCTTCTTTTATTTACGAACTTATGTCTTTGATGCTGAAATTGACAACTTTATAAAAATACATTTTCACTGAAATTATGAAATCTGGGTGTCGGAAAGGTGTAAAATTATTCTTCGGAAAAGAAAAAAACAGTAGTTGAGCTAGATAAGAAAATATACGGGGGCAGGCTCCTATGGAGAATTAACATTACTGGAAACAGGCCCTTTATTCGACATACCAGTATTTTTTTCTAACCTGGGTTAACATTTGCTTCCCACTTGAAGTTTCACTTCCTTTAATATAATTATTTTTTGTCTTTGATAGGAGTACATGTATTGTGATATATTTACTTTTGAATATTGATAGCAATATCCAGACTTTATGTCACGTTTAAACCTCCTAAAATCTTTAAAATATCAGTAAATCTCCAATTTACTAAAATTTGGTTACAACATAGTAATTCAAGGCTTCAGAACAACACAAAAGAGAGAAAACTATATGCAGTATTATTTCTATTTTAACACTAATTCAGAGAACAAATCTCACTATTTTTTACCAAACTTCACTAAAACAAATCACTGATCTCACTATTTTGTATTGGAAAGTTATGGCATGTATGTATAAATTCTTACATGTGGATGATGTGGTAGAAAAGGTAAATCACAATCTTTACAGGATACAGGTGAGTTTACAGAGTACTGGTCAGTTTACAGAGTACTGGTCAGTTTACATGGTCAGTTTACAGAGTACTGGTCAGTTTACAGAGTACAGGTCAGTTTACAGAGTTCTGGTCAGTTTACAGAGTACAGGTCAGTTTACAGAGTACAGGTCAGTTTACAGAGTACTGGTCAGTTTACAGAGTACTGGTCAGTTTACATGGTCAGTTTACAGAGTACTGGTCAGTTTACAGAGTACAGGTCAGTTTACAGAGTACTGGTCAGTTTACAGAGTACTGGTCAGTTTACAGAGTACAGGTCAGGTGTGTGTACTAGTTAACGTTGTAGCTTTTATTCTAAAATGTCTTTCTGTGTGTGCTTGATTATATAGTATAGTCTTCCTCTTGTTAAAATGTTCAGTCTGGGATGTTTACTGCAATACTTATCCACTTCACTTACGTGTGTAGTCTACACATACAAGTATACAGAACCTGGAAGAGTGTACTTCGATTTCACAAGCCTTGATCTCATGCTAAATTTTAACTTTCACAAATGTAGATGTATGCCAAAAAATAAAAAATCATCAAGAAATCGTCTCTTCATTTATACATGTCTAAGGACATATGTACTATAATTATATATATATTGAAGGAAAGCTCAGAAAACTTAAAGCTGGCATGATATTGCAGATTAAAATATGAATGATTCACTTTATCAATTCAGGACGGTATGGGAAAGATGAGAATAACAGAAGATGGCATCTTAATGGAGGGTGAAGCGGAGTTTGTAAAATCTCTATACACATCAAACATACAGGCACAACTTCAGGTAATAAAAAAGAAATCATGGAGAATCATGTATATTTACTCTGATTAAACTTTTAAAATTTGAACTCATTTTGTATGTTTTGATTAAAAATGCACAACCTGGTATAATGTAGTACTGTTTCCCCCAAATATTGTTTTCTAATAATATTTATAAAGGTGTCTCATCAAAAAATAGGGTAATGCCTGATAGTACTTTACAAAAACAATTCTCAATTTTCTTTAGACTTTCTGATGATTGATCATTTCAGTTAAAAAATAATAATTGGTACGAATGAAAATCCATGACTTTTAAATTAGAATAAAATGAACCGGAAGTATTCCTTAATATCATAGCTTTTCATAAAAATTTGCTGAATTTGTCAACATTTTGAAAATTTATGGAAAAAATTCAGTCATTATCTAGCCTTTTTTGCAGTCTATGAAAATTTACGTATTTCAATTCATTTGGGTTTGGTGTTTGTTCATGTATGTGTGTATGTAGAGTCTGAATCTGTTTGTTTTGTTTACAGGACAAACCTCTGTTCGTTGAATCTAGTCGGGGCATTATCATGCATGCCAGGGATGATGATAACAATGTAATGAGCACTATGGCGTTAGGTAAGATATTTTAAATGCAAAAAAATATTTCACAACAATTAACAAATAAATTTTTAATTATATAAGTTAATCACTATTGTTGGCCATGACAGAAGTGTACAATATTGGGTTCAATATGGGAGGAAACTGAAGTAACCAGAGAAAGCCCTTATGGTTTAGCATATATATCCTCATATATTTTCATGTCTGGTCATGGACACAAAGTTCAAATGCTCAAAGTCTTTGTACACAGAGTGCACTAGCGCTTTGCCTTCTGACCATCCTCATAGGTAGGGTATGAATATCATCACTAATAACGTAATATTGATGGTCACCTATTAGTGGTGTAATTAAGACGCACTCGACTGCACTAACACAAGGAGTCCAGCGCGATAGTCACTATCAGAATCTGATATAAGTCCCAGTCATATGTGCATTTTAGTTGCATAACTGTTACGGTAAACTCTATACTCAGTGTTGTGGGATCGTCTGATAAACACGCCAGCAGACAGCATGGCGACTAACTTACATTTTTAAGACAAATATTACCTTATACCAACGAACCAACAAAGAATAACAGAAAGAACTTGGGTAACTGAAGTATCCAATACTATTGCAATACTACCGTGATAGTGTACCACAATAATTGAACTATCGCAATAGTGTTTTCCCCAATAGTAATAGTATTGCAATAGTGAAAAATACACGCAATAGTCACCCCTATAACCTAAACAGGTCTATAAACATATACATACTGTATATACAATGTAGATGATCATCAAATTGACATAGTAAGCATGCATGTACCTGCTAGTTTGGGTTACTGGAGGGTTGAACTGCGGGAGGCTGAACTTGTTTTCTAATGCTGGAGTACCTAATCAAAATAATATTAGAAACTGATAGGAGCAAGGATGACTTGTTTCCAGTGGTTATGAAGTGAAAAGTCTTAGTTAGGTTTTGATGTTTATGGTCAAATTCATACTGATAGTAACTGACTGAAACCAAACTGATGGAACCACAATAGTAGGTCACTAAAACCATACTCATAGCAAGTCACAATGATGCATTTTACAGGCAACAGAACTTTGGAGGCACAGTGTGACAGTTTTGAAGTCAAGGATCATAATGGAAACACACAATTCAAGGTCAACGATAGAGAAGTCAGCATGGAGGTAGACGAAGTTAGATATACAGGTATATTGAAACCACAGTGAAAAAACTTATTGTAGTTATAGTGATTCACAGTATGCTTTCACAATTAAGTGTCAGTTTTGTCGATTTATTTTGAAAATAATGTTGTAAAGAGATTTTTTCAATGCCCCTTAAATGCATGCCAGATTTTAATCCAGAGAAGGTCTAGAGTATTGGTCAAAATTATTATTATTAAAACTCAAGCCAGTTTAAAAAACAGAACTGAAGAGTGATGTGTGAAAATAGTCATTAAAAATGCTGCATGTATCATTTGATAGACTCCACTATTGGGTGGTGTTGCTGTATGGGTGATGGTATTTGTGAACTACTTATCTTTGTAGTATACAATCTGTTAGTGTAATTCAAGAATTATAGATGTATAATTGTGTAGTTAACATAGAGAGTTTTGTTTCTGTTGTTGTGTTCCAGGATCCTCCAAGCTAGTGTTTGAGGGATCTGTAGCCACACCTACCTTGAGGAGTCCTCCCTCAGATCCACTCAAGTAAGATCCTATATATGGTCATTTTCCATTTGTTTCTGTTACTACACAATAAAAAACCCAGAGATGTATAATATCATATTTAGATTAGTTCTACTAGCACAACCTATATTTTCATAATAAAAATAAAAACTTTTCCGTAGCTCTATAAACATTAAATCCATTAGCTCAAGGCATCAGTCTAGAAGAATCGTATAACCCTGAAACCATATGTTAAAAAAAACATCTCGTGACATACTCCCGTAGAACTTCCTGTCATATTTATTGTCACATGTTTTTTTATTTTAGTGATCTTGCAATTTAGAATAAAAGAACAAATTTCTTAGCTAGTCTTTCTTCTTAATTTGGTTTCTCAGGTTTGAGATTGTCAACAAAACATCAGATTAGTATTCAGAATGTATATATATATTAATAGTATTATAAGTACAGGGCATCAACTATTAAAAGTTCAAGAAAGCAGCATTTGAACTTGTTTTATCATTAGTCTTGAATGAAAAGGTTTTCATTTTATTTAAACAAAAATGAAATAAAAGATTTTCCCAGAAAGGCTGGGTGATACGATGAAATAATTTAACAAGTGTGAAGAATCAGTTTGCTATTTCATTAACAACCTCAAAGAAACCAAATTAAATGTGAGCCATACTTATTTGCTAAATTTCTAAATCAATGATAAACTGTTTCAATTTTTCATTTATTTACTTTTTTTGGTTGGAACTAACTGAACTGAATTCGTAGCATTAACAGAATAGAAGATGACTTTCTATCATTGTATGAATGCTGTATAAATGTGTATAACACAGGATTGAGTCTCTAGGAACCTCAATACGAATACACGGAGAGACGGGTATTAATCTGAAGGCACCTGCTGGAAATGTGCTGATCAAGAGCTCAGACGATATCCTGTTAGAATCAACAGATAACTCGGTAAGTAGTTGACCATGTCATTGACAGGTCATATAGTTAAGAAATTATTTAGTAAATAGGCCATGCTGGAAGTCAGTTAATAGTCGTAGGTATTAACAAACACATAATACAGATGGAGTTTCATATTACATTTGTAGTCTCTTAATAGAAACCTCAGTCCTGTAATTATTATCTTCTTGAGTCAGTATCAAGCAAATTTATTTTCACTTTCCTATGCTAATTAACCTTATTCACTACTATATTTTCCTCAAAAAAAGCCCAGGAGACCAACACATAATATCTAACTCAAAGTAGAGTGATAGGCTTATAACAGGACACTGAAATAACATTTATTGGCATTTCTGCTGAACTGTATTAGATATAGTAGGGTTTATTACCAGGTATGACTTTGTAGCCAGATGAATATTTATATAATCCATATAATAATATCCATATTTTGACTGACATTATAGACTATTCAATGCGTCATCTGATGGCCTCCTAATGTGTAAATGGCTATGAATATTAAAAATGTGCTTCATGGATTATGTGTGTTAGCCACTGTTCATACTCGCATGGTAAAAGTAAAAATATCATTTCATTCCTACGAACCTCACTGAGACACAACTTTTCCTTTGTTTGTTTCACTGAAACAACTTTTTCTTTGGTTGGTCAGGTGATAGCATTTGAAAATTATGAACTTTCATATATATATCGTTCTATTTGGTTGTCTGAACACAGCCTCTATCTGTTTAAGATATTACCTGGTAAGATAGAATTTATGAGTAGCACTTTGATCTCTTAGCCATATTGTATATGTGCCAGACATAAAGGACTAGTCATGAGGATAGCTGTATAAATCAACGGAAGGGCTTATTCACAAAACTTGGCTGTAAATATTCAGGAATTATTTTTTTGTTTAATATGACTCTAATATATGTGAAATCTGTTTTAAATAATGGCCTGTACTTGTAATTTCAGATCTACGTACAGTCACGTGACCTGTACCTAAAGAGTACTAAAGTGAGTATACCCGCGGTGGGGAGACCATACACTGGCAAAGTCTACCAGCTTTGTATGTGTATGAGTGGTCGTCTGTATCTGTCAGACCCCAGCGATGACTGCCAGGCCACAGACACCATTTGTCAGTAGTGACCACTCAACACTGACCATCACAGTGAAGATACGTTTCGGTCAGTGGCCATTTACAACTTTGAGGGAGATAAAGCATAGCTTATCAAACGACTTTAAAGTAAAAATAGTTTTGTTGTTTGCTTTCTAGGTAAATGACCGTTGTAATATCTCGGTACCTACCTTGAGAAGAATATAGGTCACAGCTGGTTGATTCGTAACGCAGTCTTAAATGTTTTATTGTTGTTCTGTGATATTGACTGACAGGTCACTGTGTCATAAATATTAATAACGCACAGAATCTCAGTTAAGTCAATCTATACTACAAGTTAAACCTCCTAAAAATAAAGATTTTGATATTAATAAAATCATTGTAAGGAAATCTTCAGCATTATTTATCGGGAAATATATGATTTAGTAAATCAAGGTTAGGTGCAATCAGTTATGTCCAAAGTGATCCATTTTAAAATGAAATGCAACTCATTTAATATTTATGAATATTCAAAGTGAATTACTTATTATAATCGTCCTCTGTTAACATGAATACTTCTCCTACATTTGTTGTGACAAAGATTTAAGTCAAGTTAAGTGCAAGTTTATTTGTCTCCAGGATTATTTTTGAATCATTATGTTTCTAATATGTGCTTTGTCCGTATAATATTTGTTTAGGACTAACCTTATTTTGATGGAGTTTGAAAATCAGTCAATATTTTAATAGATTTATTATACATGTAATACTGAAATAAAAACCAGGAATACTAATACGACAAGTTAATTTCCATGGCCCCTTTTAATTTCTAATATTATCTTTCAGCATACAATCCGAAATTCTGTGGGGGGGTTTATGAGGATTGAAAATACTACACAGTGCATAAAATCTTAAATTTTTTATATACAGTATTCCAAACCCTTTCACCCCTATGTAACTTTAGTGTACTCTACCATGCATTGATATGGATGAGTCTGTTATGGTCTACAGTGGTGAAAGAGTTAATTAACAGAGCTGTACAGCAGCTTTAGTATCATGACAATGTATAGTTGTGATTTCTGCACTACTCCCTAGCAGACGAAGCATTTTTCACTTCACCACCTTCTAAAAGACCAAGGATCGCAGTATTTCAAAAAGGATTTTAACCACTGAGAGTATATTTTTTACCAGATATTTGTTATAATGTTGTATAAGGGTACATGATAATGTTGTATTAGGGTACTTGATAATGTTGTTTTAGGGTACATATGTCAAGTAGTATCTATATTCAGTCTAGGTTATTGTATCGATAACCGTACTACATATTCAGTAAGGCCAGTAAGAGGAACAGAAATCTTTGCTTGACATAAATGGGTAATATTTTACAGTATGTATAAGAAATTTCAATATTAGCAGTATGTTTTATAAAAATGTGCCATTTCTAAATATTCTTTCATAACATTAAACGATTCAATACTTTTCAATATTGTATTTAAGATATTATAGATTAGCAAAGAATCATTCCATCTTTTTTTTAGTTAGTGAAATAGTTTAGACTAGGTTTGTGTCATCCCTGTAGGACGTTAACAAAACAAGATCTGGAGGGGAAAATCATTTAGTTTATGAAGTATTTTTTTTCATTTTGCTATTGAAAACATATTGTAACTTTATGCTGCAGCATTATGGAACTGCCTTTTCTAAGAAAAATAGATTCATTGAAAACAATTGAATATGACTATTTATACACCTCAATCATGATTCTGTAAAAATAGGCCCTGTAAATTATAGTAAGATTATGTTTAACATCTGCAGAAGAAATTGTTTGCCACATCTATTATCATAGATTGAGAAAACATAGTATCTATATAGAGATATATTTCTCTCACCTCTACATAATTAGGTACGATATACTTGGTATCTCTATAGAGATATATTTCTCTCACCTCTACATAATTAGGTACGATATACTTGGTATCTCTATAGAGATATATTTCTCTCACCTCTACATAATTAGGTACGATATACTTGGTATCTCTATAGAGATATATTTCTCTCACCTCTACATAATTAGGTACGATATACTTGGTATCTCTATAGAGATATATTTCTCTCACCTCTACATAATTAGGTACGATATACTTGGTATCTCTATAGAGATATATTTCTCTCACCTCTACATAATTAGGTACGATATACTTGGTATCTCTATAGAGATATATTTCTCTCACCTCTACATAATTAGGTACGATATACTTGGTATCTCTATAGAGATATATTTCTCTCACCTCTACATAATTAGGTACGATATACTTGGTATCTCTATAGAGATATATTTCTCTCACCTCTACATAATTAGGTACGATATACTTGGTATCTCTATAGAGATATATTTCTCTCACCTCTACATAATTAGGTACGATATACTTGGTATCTCTATAGAGATATATTTCTCTCACCTCTACATAATTAGGTACGATATACTTGGTATCTCTATAGAGATATATTTCTCTCACCTCTACATGATTAGGTACGATATACTTGGTATCTATATAGAGATATATTTCTCTCACCTCTACATGATTAGGTACGATATACTTGGTATCTATATAGAGATATATTTCTCTCACCTCTACATGATTAGGTACGATATACTTGGTATCTATATAGAGATATATTTCTCTCACCTCTACATGATTAGGTACGATATACTTGGTATCTATATAGAGATATATTTCTCTCACCTCTACATGATTAGGTACGATATACTTGGTATCTATATAGAGATATATTTCTCTCACCTCTACATGATTAGGTACGATATACTTGGTATCTATATAGAGATATATTTCTCTCACCTCTACATGATTAGGTACGATATACTTGGTATCTATATAGAGATATATTTCTCTCACCTCTACATGATTAGGTACGATATACTTGGTATCTATATAGAGATATATTTCTCTCACCTCTACATGATTAGGTACGATATACTTGGTATCTATATAGAGATATATTTCTCTCACCTCTACATGATTAGGTACGATATACTTGGTATCTATATAGAGATATATTTCTCTCACCTCTACATGATTAGGTACGATATACTTGGTATCTATATAGAGATATATTTCTCTCACCTCTACATGATTAGGTACGATATACTTGGTATCTATATAGAGATATATTTCTCTCACCTGTACATGATTAGGTACGATACACTTGGTATCTTTATAGAGATATATTTCTCTCACCTCTACATAATTAGGTACGATATACTTGGTATCCCTATAGAGATATATTTCTCTCACCTGTACATGATTAGGTACGATATACTTGGTATCTATATAGAGATATATTTCTCTCACATCTACATAATTAGGTACGATATACATGACCTTTACTACAATTGTATTATGAGGACATTAAAATGTGCTGTCAAAATGTTGTCTGACAGACTATGAAAATCTTGCCACCGGAAACTTATACCACTTCAAGAACATCAGAATAATGGCACAAGGTTGCCCTGATGGTTGTGCTTGATACTTTTAATTTGAAGTAAATCTATTCTCCAGATAAAGTCTTGGTTTTGGTATACTTACATTATCTGAAATGGATCTATACTTATTGTTGCATCTGCATTGCCCTCGTTTAACTAAAAAATTAATTTGGGATACGAGGTGGGGGGGCGGTAACAGTATGTGGGATTTGCATATTCTACCTGAGCGTGTAGAACTCAGGTCAGAACAGAGGCTTTACCAAGTATATCCTTATCCCAACTATTCCAATGTATGGTAGCCTCTATTACCAGGTAATATCAAAGTTACGAAGAATACTTCAAGCATGTTATTCAACCTTTAATTTTTTGTGGTCTATGAAATTTGGCAAGCGAAGCTCAAAGATTACCGCCTTGATATTATGACAAATGTAGTTGATATTTTACCACAGAGATATATCAGGAAATGGATGCATTATTTTATACTGGTTAAGAACTACTATAAGAGGGTGATATATTATAAATCATGATACCAAACCCTATAGCCATGTACTTTATATATGGAAGTATTTTTGCAGACCAATCCTTTGAACTAGCAGTAAAAATGAAAAGGTCTTTAAATAGAGGAAAATTATTTTGGCTGCAAAGCTATCAGATTCTTTCCTACCAAATATCTGGTACAGAATCAATCTTCAAGTACCTAATGTGTATGTTACAAACTATTAGATTGGTTCTAGATTAAGTATAAAAACAAAACCCTGAATGATATTATATTTTGTAAAAGAAAACTTGTATTGTTTGTAATGCCATGTATATATTTACACTGTATATATATTTAGATCTAGTCCTTTCATTGCTTTTGATGTTTGTGTTATTTGTATATAATGTCTGTATTTATATGACCAAAGATTTACTTGTTACCGGAATCAATACTGCCATATCACGTATACATACTGTCCCGACTTGATAATGTCTACAGTCAGTCTACTTTTGTCTATTTTCACCTTGTTAGAATGTACTTCATTGATCAATTGTTTTTTAGTGTTCTTTCTTTTTCTGCATACAAACAAATATACATGCTTTAATTTTTTTTATACTTTGTATGTATAACAAAGTATAACTATCAAAGGTAATCCCCAAAGTGGTTTATGTACTAAAGGGATTATTAATTGATTGCTGATAAAAACGGATTAATTTGTCACAAAACACAACATAACGCCGTAATTTCATTGCTGAGAAACTTGAACCAATAAGAAGTTTAAATTATAAATACTGTGCCAAAATGGTTTTGTGTTGTCAATTTTTTTTTTTTTAAGTCTACCATTTGGGAAATAGCCAAATTAATTATATATTACTATTATCTGTAGATGCTGATTGAATCTATTGTACCAATAATCAACAAAGGTTATTTTGGTATATAAATCTACTTTACCATTGATCTTAGATGGCTAAATGAGTTCACTATTCATTTACAGAGGGTTATATAATTTATAAATCTACATGTCCTTTATTCTGATTTACCATAGATCTGCAGAGACATTTTTTCCTTTTAAAATGTAATTTAGTTATACATATGTAAAGAAAATAGCCCTAACTGTATCCATAGTTAAAAGGCAACATTGATTCATGTGGTCAAAGATTAGTGCTGTGGCTCTCTTTTTGTCTGTTTCTCCAGTTTTCATTTACTTACCTTGTTGATATAGAATGTATAGGGATGATTTTAAAGTTTACTATTTCAGAATAATTATATAGCAAACAAATCCAGTGTCCATTATCTACATATGAACAACCTCTTGTACTTGTAATAGAGGGGTTTTAATTTTTTGTTATCCACATCAGTTTTTGTTGGACAACATGTTTTTCGTCGCTTTTAATTAAATACATAACGGTGACATTGAAGTTACTTGTGTGCAATCCTTCTATTCAAATCTTGAAATGATGTGTAAAATTTCTGATAAAATATTTACCGGTTGATTTTCCATTTCATACGTTTATTGGGTTAAAAAACTGAATAAAATTTGTTAAAATTTAGTAGCAAGATTAGGAATATGTCTCGGTAAGGGGAGGTAAGCAATGACATGTTCCTTTGGTGACTGTAGGCTGTGGTGATATAATAATACATATATCAGGAATGCATGTGTAAGAGGATATTCTGTAAACAGCTATATATATACGACATAACATGGATACTGTCAGACTGTGTACATACAGGAATACATATATAGTGGGAAAATTTAAATGATCACATGATTCACCGAAAAATGGTAACAGAGAAATGGTCATTGAATGTTAATTGTTAGTAGCAGAATATGAAATAACTTTGTTGATATTGAAGATTTTATATACTTTGGATTAAGGATATTATTGGACAAGGTGATCATATCATTTTTTTCACTGTTAGATTACTGATTATTCTGGATTATTGTGTTGTATACTGTTTAAGTTTGACCGTACCCTTATACCACCACTGTAGATCTGAAGTTGGTTTAGGACTACACAACTGTATGGTTTTTTCCCTGGTTTTGTTAAATACTATAGGGCAATGTATTGTGCAATCTTCTATATACCCACAACTGAACATAAAGAGAAAATTAATGCAGAAAGCTACAAAAGATGATTGATAATTGCAGTGTGTCTAAGTTCAGAAAGTCATCAATGGTAAGTTGATCACTAAGATACAGGGTAATACCAGAAAGAACGGTCCACCTCTGAAGATTTTTAACGAAGTATTTTCTCTTTAATTTGTTTATCATGTGTTTTGGTGAAGGGTAAGATAAGCTGGATTCCTGGACACTTTAACATGGGAATCACGGATACAGATTTGATACTGGATGTATTTTGCCTCAGTACTCCTCACTTATATATATCAATAGAAACGTCTCGGAGAAATCGGAAGACAAGTGCCTTATATTGTGTTATAATATGTTATAACTGTGCCAAAAGTGTATGTTTTGTCCCAAGTTCAACAGATACTGATTATGAAGTTGTCATTTATTGAATCCTGTACGTGAATCCTCCACTCATTCAACTGAGAACAGTATTATAATACGATAGTTATCTGGCAATAAGATGTATGGTAATAAACCCACCCGTGTCAAATAGAGTTCAGTAGATACAATAGTAGTAATACAAACAAATGGTATTTCCTTTTCCTGCAAAAAGCCCTTTCCCTACTTTTAGTTAGAGTTTATGTATTGGTCCCTGGGCTTATCATACGATAAATATGGTACAGATAAACCGGCACAAAGGAAGTCTTATATTGGGGAAATCTCCAGAGATGTGTCACAC